GGTCACAATCAATACAGTTTTACCACAAAAACAAACACTTAGCAAAACTAAGTTGCTACGGTAAACCTTACTGCAAATTACAGCCAATCTTTCTTGCAGTTCTTTCACAAAAGAAGCATGATTGATTACAACACAAGTTGTCTTCACACACTCCAAACATCTTTGCCCTTGCCACAAATGTGTTTGTAACAATTTATGTTTTTGTTGCAGATTTACAGCAAAGTTATTTTGGTTTCTGTTCCAAGTATTTAAATATCAAAATATCTGCTCCACAATCTGGAAGATAGGAAGAAACAAATTTGAATTTGTGTGTTTTTTTAAAAATCATTCTCAGGATCCAAAATGCATTGCAACCGATGAACTGTTGCATACATGCTGCAAGTTCTGCCTTAATTACCATTTCTGGTTCTGTTCAATCGAGTGAGAAAGTGGGCAGTACGGGAACCCCAGCTTCACTGTTTGGAACTCAACATTTTAAAGTGCTCTGTTTAGAAGATCTACAATGTTCATTAAGGCACACGTTTTTTAAAACCCCATGGAAATACATCTGTACAGTCAAGTTCTGAAATCGACAGGAGGCTTGTAGGAGGCCAGCAAAAATTGTGCAACTTCAACACTGACTGCAATATCACTTAAAATCTTCAGAATGTCACATAAATTTGGGAATTTCTCAAGAGGCAGCACAATGCATGGAAAGGTTCCAGGGCAACAGGAAGGCAGACACAAGGAGGAGGACACAACCAGACAGCACAATATACCACAACAGGGGCGGCTACCTCGACCTGATGGAGAACCAGTGCAGACGGAGATTATGACTATCCAGGGCAAATGGCATTGGACATCTGTTAATGGCAAGGTGTCTCTGCCTACAAACAGTCTCTACAAAAAAAAACAAACACTGAAGGTGACAGTGGCCCTGTATTTTTTCACATCACAGTCCTCTAGGGTTCACTTGCAGATCTTATAGTCAGCTGCAATTCAGTACATTACCTCAATTACAGATGCCCTCTTCATGAAGGTAGATGGCTGCATCAAGTTCAGCACATATTAAGGCCTCCTAATTACAGACAGCCATCAGGACCTGACAAATTCGTAGCAAGTCGTCTTACAGCTCACTCAACGGGCATCTTGTAGATGACCGCAGGGATAGCTTCCCCCATGTAATTGTATTCTTTCCTGTGAGCTGTCAGGATTTATTCAAAATACATCAGTCAAATTTTCCACAGCTTTTTCATCTCATCTCCCACCTATACAAGCATTTTCAGATGGGGAAGGTGGGCTGGATACAAGACAGTGACCAGCCCTAGGGTCAGAGAGTGGCCCTTTGTCATGCAAACAAACATTCAATGATTCAGCAATGGTCTAGACCACCGAATACCACCAGATAGATATCGGGCAATGCACTAATCCTGAGATTACAATAGGGGTCAAACCATGCATTCAGATTTCACAATCCTCCAGTCACAAAGGGATAGATTATTAGTTATAAGAAGAGACCAGAAAGTGGAGTTGATCAGGGTCATCAGATCAGCCATGGTCTCTTTGGTTGAATGAACAGATTCAATGCGATAAATGGCCCATTTCTGCACCTATGTCTTATAGTGTTATTATTATGCAGTATAGAAGAGAGTTCTGGGCACTACACTTTAGGAACAATGTGAATGGACTGGAGGACTGTAAACAAGATTGACAAAAGCAGTACTGAGGAAGGGTCACTGGACCCGAAACATTAACTCTGATTTCTCTCCACAGATGCTGCCAGGCCTGCTGAGTTTTTGTTTTTGACCAAAATAGCTCCATTGGTGGGGCACTTCAGTGAAGTCAAAAAGTTAGAGCAGTGGGGACTGTTTTGCTTGGAGGAGGTGGCAGCAGCTAAGAAGTTACTTGATAGCAATTTTCAAAAAAAAAAAAAAAATCATGACAGGTCTAGAGTGTGGATGGGACGAAACTGTCTACACTCAAATGAATCAAGAACCAGAGGGTACAGTTTTGAAACTTTTTTTTTGCAGAATAAAGAAACACAAGTTGAGCGAAAAAAAACTTTTGCACAGACAGTGGTTCAAGTTTGGAATGCACTGCCTCGATATGTAGAGGAGGCAGGTTCAACTGAAGCACTCGAGTGCAGTGGATGATTATTTAGATAGAAACAATGTGCAGACTCATGGAGAAAAGGCAGTAAGTTCAAAAGCTAAGGCAATGGGCCAAATGATCATCTCCTATGCCATAATAATTCTGTGATTTTGCAGATTCCAATGACACCAATGAAAACTTTGATGATATCTGTGCATATCATATATACTGTTTGACACTGAACTATAAAGAGCCTTCCAATCATTGTTTAAAAAGAAGGGACTTTGTTCAGATCATAGCTGAAACTATTGACACTCAACATCTATAAAGACACCCGACAGGTCCAGTTAGTGATCATTCTGACAATGCATCATTTTCAAACTCAAAAGCAATGCTCCCATGATACCTCGGAAGTATTAGAGACAGCATTCTCAACTGATTAGATGGCTGCAAGATCCATAGAATTTGTGCAGCAGAGTGGCACACTGGTTAACACTGCTGCCTCACAGCTCCAGGGACCCAGGTTTGATTCCAGCCTTGGGTGATTGTGTGGACTTTGCACATTCTCCCAGTGTCTGTGGGGGTTTTTGCCAAGTGTCCCGCTTTCCTCCCACAGTCCAAAGATGTATTAGTTTAGGTGGATTAGCCATGCTAAATTGCCCATAGTGTCCAGGGATGTGCAGACTACGTGGATTAGCCATGGGGAATGCAGGGTTGTGGGGGAGGGAGGGTCTGGATGGGATGCTCTTCAAAAAGGTTCAGTGCAGACTCGATGGGTCAAATGGCCTCTAACTGTACTGTTAGGATTCTGATTCTAAAAGGGGTTTGTTGATGGCATCAGGTCTTGTTATTCTGGGTCTATTTTGGGCCACTCCTTTGGCTACACTACCCCTGCATCTTTGTAGGAAATAGCCACCATCAAGACCTGCTCCATAGATCCCTCCTCTATCAGGGTAGCCAGGGCAGCAGAGAACGATGAGTGCCACAAGGTGACCTCCCATCCTCCTCTTCATCAGTCAAAGATATACAGCACGGAAACAGACTCTTCGGTCCACTCGTCCATGCCAACCAGATATCCTAAATGAATCTAGTCCCATTTGCCAGCATTTGGCCCATATCCCTCTAAACCCTTCTTATTCATACACCTATCCAGACACCTTTTAAAATGTTGTAAATGTACCTGCCTCCAACACTTCCTCTGGCAGCTCATTCCAAACACACCAACCTCTGCGTGAAAAGGTTGCCCCTTAGGTCCCTTTTAAATCTTTCCCCTCTCACCTTAAACCTACCCTCTGCCCTCTAGTTTTGGACTTCCCCACCCCAGGGAAAAGACCTTGCCTATTTACCCAATCTATGCCCCTCATGATTTTATAAATCTCTATAAGGTCACCCTCAGCCTCCGATGCTCTAGGGAAATAGTCCCAGCCTATTAAGCCTCTTCCCATAGCTCAAACCCTCCAACCCTGGCAAAATCCTCGTACATATTTTCTGAACCCTTCCAGGTTTTACAACATCTTTTCTATAGCAGGGAGACCAGAACTGCACAGTATTCCAAAAGTGGCCTAACCAATGTCCTGTACTGCCACAACATGACCACCCAACTCCTACACTCAATGCACTGACCAAAGGCAAGCATAC